TTGAGGCGTTTAATGTTAATATAATAGCGTGTTTATTAATTTACTGACATTTACATGTCAGTAATTAATATTTATTTGTTTGCTACCTGACACAAACATAAAATCGCACAAACAACAGTGAGCGCTTTGTTCATTTGGCAACATTAATTTCGTGAATTTGATAGCTTTTGCAAATAATTGCATACTTTGCGGCGTTTTGCGCCATTGCACACACAAACAGAAACTCATAATGCATGTAGTTTGGCATATCTGATTTTAAAATCATGAAAATGTTTGAGTGATTTCAATATACGTGCATGTATGTATGTTTCGTCTTGCGCACGCACACAGAAAAGTCATTAAGATTCTGCATTTGTGATAGATCTCAGTTGGCGCGCATTAATTACTAGCCTGAAGGCATGAGTCAAACGTAGCCAATGCTTCTGCTTAACTCGTAAATACGCGGCGCCAAATCTTAATTAAAAGCAGATTTTTTTTTACATTTAAATATGTGTAAATTGATGTCTACTAGGAAGGTCCTGATATTAACAGATTTTTTCCTATCTATTAATTTATTTAATTTTAAATTTTTAAGTAAAAACGTTGCCCCTTGTTTAAAAATTTTAATCCAAAAAAATATTATTATTAATTTTTTTAAGTTCGAACGCTGACAGCTCTACTTAAATTTTATTGTTAAGGAAAATTTTGGATAATAGTTGCCACCTATTTATGAAATTTTTGTCGCAAAAATCTATAAGGTAAAGAAACTCTACAAAATAAGTAGTAAATTATGTACTCAAGTATAAAAATATATATATATTTTATTTTATTAAATTTTTCTGAACTTTGCCCTTGTGACCTGTCGAAAAGTTTTCGTCCTACCATTAATATCTGCCTCTTTTGTTAACTCGCGTTTTTTGTTCGCAAAACTTCAGTTATCCTACATTTCAACTTCAATATGCAGCATCATTATTGATATACTTTTAGGCGCAATTTTATTTTGCCTTTTACATACCAAAATCAATTTTGCTTTGTAATGCCAACATTTTCGTCACGCTTTTATTGCGCACAATCATTTTAATTACGTTGCTCATTTAAGCGTTGCCTAACTTTACGAGCGTAGCATTGCGGAAAGGCAGCTTGTGTGGCACAAAAAAATATATTTTTGCGAAATAATTACTTTTTACTACGTTATTTACAGAAGAATGATTGATTGGATTCTCGACTGAAAGTTTAATATCACATATTTCAAAATCAATAGTAAAAACTTTTAATTGAAAAATATTTTCAACTTAAACAAGGAGAAAATTATGTGCGAAGAACTAGACGTCATAAAAGTGAAACTACATTTAATGGGTTTTATACATGCATATACAAATATAATACACATATGGAGAGTGACAACTAATTGAAATATTTCACTTTGCATATTTTTTAATATTTATTTTTTTTTGTTCTGGGAATGATATGTTTCATTTGTGTGCTGGCATTACTGAAATATATTTAAGCGCATCAAAGATTTTTCCAATAGTTTGATGTGATATCAAGATTGCAGCATTGAATTAAGTTTATGAATTTATTTAATTGAAAAATTTTAAACAGCCGGCAAACGTTTTCAAAAAACTTCGACAGAAATTGTATTGAAAGCTGTTCTATTGGTTACAAATATTGATTTTTTTTTTACTTTAAGAATTTAATCAAGATAAAATTTAAATAGGTGGCATCCTTCCAAAAAAAAAATAAGATTTATAGAAACGGGTTTAATGCATATGTTTTACAGTGCTTATATTTTTTTTTTTGCTTCTAAATATGTTTCTAGGTGGCAACCCTTTTTAACAAACATGTTCACTGTACTGCTTCTTTATATTATAATACTTTAAATTGCTTATATTTACATATATTTTTTAGCGCTCATATGTTTTTTTGCTGTAAAGTATTTATATAAGTGGCAACCCTTCTGAACAAATATTTTCACTACACAATAGTGTTCATTTGTCTTATAATTTTGTTAAATTGAACTTTTTAAACAGGAGCTATTCAATGTGCTTCAGAAAAAATATATACTGGCCGCACTGGAAATAATATATACCATTTCAATGCACAACTCTTTACTCATATTTGTATTTTTTAAACTTATTAATAAATTGTAAAGCAATCTCAAATATTTAGTGCTTCCAATGGGCTTTGAGTCTCTTTTGCTGACAACATTTATATACCATATATTAACCCTCATAACAGTGGAATATAAAAAGTACCGTTGTGCGCAGGTTTCAAGCCATTTTTTTCAAAAATAATCTCAGCGCTCAAAGTTGAAAAGGCTATTGATGGCTGTCAGCTTAATATTAATGTTTTTATAGACATACATATGTACTTAGCCAACCGTTGTTCATGTAGGTAAATATACCATAGATAGTGCTTATCTCAATGTACATATATACTTACATATGAATATAGCAAATATATGCATTAAGTTTGTATATTTCAACTACTTATATAGTACGTATATGTTTTGCAATGTAAATCGCTGAAATTAGTAGTTTTTTGTACCAACTTTATTCTCTGACCTGATTTATTCATGCATACTTTTAGGCGCATTTTAATAAAATATGCCAATTCAATGGTAGGTTTTGCTGACTTTATTAAAACACTCAAGAATTTATTTATTAAATAAAAGCTAATTTTTTTCTTGTTGTAAGGTTTATAAACTTTTTCAAACGCATTGTATTCGTCAAATTTGCTGGACAGGAAATAAATATTATGACGGAGCGAAAAAAAACTATGAAGAAATATTTGTAAAACTGAATCCGGAAATAAAACAGAGTTGAAACTGGCTTGTGATTTCACTAGTAAAGAATCAGTGTTATTTTTCTCTGCATTCCTAAGTTTTTGGCAGTTGTTAAAAATTTTAGTTTTGTGAAAAATCTGAAAGTTATAATAACTCTGCTTGAAAATTTGTATCCTTTGAATGCACTCTCGTACGGGTCATTTGGATCCTTTAAATGTCACTTTGGGCCATTAGCACTTGAGAAAGTCTTATCTTCACATTTATTACTTCATTTATATTATCTTTATTAAAGGCATCTCAATCATAAAAGTTACACTCTCTATCCAGAGCACATAATTCGATTCCTTTAAAGAAACATAGTGTACTGGAATATCTGTTAAACACTTTCGGAAGCCTCCTAATTCCAGATATTTGCCTGAAACAGGCCTCCTTCTAGGAACATCGGGAAAAAAAAATTTTATCGACACTCGACTCCCAGGAACATTAAAAGAAATATTCTAAAATAATCCATCAATATTCAACGCCACATACAACACGCGTTGGTTGCGATTTTCTCAAATAGACATTTTTTATTACTCTCAGAGAGCCAATAATTTCTTTCTATAAACAATGATTGAGAAAAACTAATTGTGATGCCAGATGAGCTCAAAAGCAGTCTTAATACGCTCGAATATTCAAACCTCTTAACGCTTACACTTAATGTGGTTCTAAAACCTCGCAAGCATATCTTCGTAAGTCGTTTTCCACAAAACACTCTCGATAAACCAACCAACAAAAGCAGCAAATACATTCTGTAAAACCACTTTTAAATCGTAAATAAATATTCTTTTGAATTTAGTGTTTGCGATTGCCTCCAAAAAAAATTTTATTGATTAGCTAAATTATATAAAAGAATGTTTGACATTTGACTTGACCAATCAAGTATCTTACACAATTAATTAGAGATGATTCGCAGTAATCGAATCCGGCTTTAAAAGAAAATCTACTTTTGGCTGCTACAAAAATTTTACCTTAAAGAAAACTAAAAACAAAAAATATATATTATTTTAATTATAAACATTATTTGTGGCTGATAAAGAAACTTTATCGCAAAAGAATCAAAAAAATTGTATTTCAATTGTAAATACACTTAGTGCTAAGAAAATGCATGCTCTGAAAATTTCTAAAACAAAAATATTTTAATTCTAAATACTAAGTGGATCTGCTAATAAAACCTAACCTCAAAAAAAACATTATTTTAATACAAAATAAATTTATTTTAGACTTAAGACTTCAATTTCTTTTTAATTATTGAAAAGAAATCATATTTAACTTAATTTAAAACTAACCTCAAAAACACACATTATTTTAATTTTAGATACATTCATTTTTAAACTTTGGACTTACATTTCATTATAGTTATTGAAAAAAAATCATATTTATCTTACCACAAATTAAAATTTGTAGCTTTAATTTTCAAGCAATTCATAATTAAGCCCGTTAGCTATTGAAAAATAACCTTAAATATGCATATTTAATATTTATAAAAATATGCAAATTTAATTTAACACTTAGCTAATAATGCATTAGTCAGCATTGTACTAACCAATTGTTTGCGTTTAAAATGCCCTGCAGACACTTAGGATTTTTCATATAATAAAAATATTAAATTTGTACATTTTTGCATTTTATTACACTAACAAAAACATTTACTGCTGCATTTGCATAAAATTTAAATTAATAAAAATGTTATGTAATTCCAACTAACACACATTTGTATGCAAATTAATTTATGTAAATGTGGAAAGCATAAAATAAAGATAGAATTTTCAGCAATTTAATACAATTAGCTATGTGAACTAAGCAAATTTGTGCAAGAAATAATGCGCTTCAACGCCGCTGCCAGCAATTTTATGCTTTCGCGCATTTGGATGAAACGATTTTTTGTTTTATTATAATCAAAAAAATATATACATATATATGTATTTATAACGGCATAATTTAATACTATTTTACTAAATGCATTTGTGTTTCTGCGTTATTTCTTCTATTTTCATGTGCGCATACGTGTCTACAAATACAACAAAAAACGCTACATACAATGCTACTATGCCCAACAACAACGCACCGCATACTTCAATACACGTCCCAACTTAATCAACTAACCTCCAAACTTGCCAACATATCACTTTAAACGCGCCACACTTGCCGTGCACCCACGCGCATATTAATATATACACCCCCTGTATATGTACAGCACTGGCCGCAATCAGCCACCGATGTATACGGAAACTTTGTCGGAAAGTTTGGCGCTGATGATCACCTCGCTGTCGGTCGAAATGGAAGGCAAATATTATTGCACCGCCTCCTATGCAAATACGGAATTAATGAATACGAGCGTTATAATTAAAACTTATGGTAAGTTTCTATTTAACTATTTCACTATTACGATTGCTAACTTTTTGTCAGCGTCGCGTATGTGATGGCGTCGCTGTGCTGCTGGCGCTCAACCCAAGTGGTGCACTTAAGCGCGTACTCAAGTGCTGCATAACGGTTATAGCGCGCCACAGTTCAACTTGCCACTACTAGCTAACGCCAATTTCGGCTTGTTTTGTTACTGTTTTGTTGCTAGGTTTTTATTTGATATTATACACTGAACAAGGTATATAAAGTTTGCCACGAAATTTGTAATCAGACCCTATAAAATGTATACATATATATATAATCAGCATGACGCACTGAATCAATTTAGCCATGTCTGTTTGTCTGTATATACGCAAACTAGTCCCTCAGTTTTTGAGATATCGCTCTGAGATTTGGTATGCGTTCTTTTCTCTTCAAGAAGTCGCTCATTTGCATCGCTTATATCAGATCACTATAGCATATAGCTGCTATCAAACTAATCGATCAAAATTAAGTTCTTGTATGGAAAACTTTTCATTTGTGAGGGGTATTATAGTTTCAGTTCAACCGAATTTAACGTTCTTTCTTATTTTTCATGTATATTTTTTTTCCTGAAATTTATTTTATTGCTGTTGCAAAATTTTGCGTTTTGTTCCGAGTGAGCGCTTGGCTGCACTGCTTGTCTGCTAAATTGTGGTATTGCAATGCTAGTCCACAAACACACTTCACACGCCCAGCACGCCGAACAAACAAATCCACTTTGCCACACATACGCAAGTTTTGCAAAAGTTCACAAATTTACAGCTAGCAACCAATTCGAGCGTGCATATTTCATGCATTTGCCAGCAAGTCGAATTGTCCCACTGTGCAACGGCACTTTGGCAAAAGAAAACCCACAACAAAATGCCAGCAAACTGCGTGCAAGAAAATGCAATAATAAGTTGTGTATGCTGTTGCCGGCTTTTAGGCGCACGAGCAATATATGCGATATGTGCCGTTATAAACAAGTGGCAAACGTGGCTGCAGCAAAGTTCCGCAAAACTGCAAACGTACGTGTGTGTTTAACAGCAATTATGCTGGTCATAAACAAGTTGTTGCAAGTGTTGGCAAATGGGCGTGTTGCCTGCACGCTGCTTGCCTCACATACACTTATACATGTGTGCTGGCGCAACTTTTACTTAGCAACTTTTTAGTTTTCATAAATTGCATTTCATAAGTTTTTAATAAAAATTTTTTCTCTATTTTCGAAAGTTGGTTTTTCGGCCATAGACCGATTTCTTATGGTCTCGTTAAGTGCCATAAATATTTGTAAGGCTAAAAATGTACATTTGTGTGTGTGTGTGTGTGTATAGGTGGCGCATTGCAGCGTTATATGCTATTTATTCTATAACAGTATTTATGTAAAATGTATGTAAAAGTGTGTGATTGCAGTTATCTATGAAATTTGCAAAGTTCTTAACCAAATATGGCCTGGTAATTTCGGCAGTAAAGCAAATATGAAAATAAATAGTATTTTTAAGCACAAAAAAACAGCCAAGCGTTTACCTATGAACACTGCATGGCAAGTGTGAAAGTTACTTATTTTCTTGCCATTAGTAAAATGAATATATATTTTTGGAATTTATGTTATTATTCAGTTTAAGCATATTCGTAAATATATATTATGATTAGTTTCAGAGAGTAAAAAGAAACTATAGTTTTATATAATAATGAAAGTAAATAGGTTTTTAAAAAAATTTATTTTGAAATACAAATAAGAAAAATATTCAAAAAACAAAACAAATCATTTTTAACTGCCAAATTCGAAAATTAAATCAAATAATATTAATATAATATTTATCAACTATTTGAAATAATTATTGAAAGTGTATTAAATTAATTGATTTAAATTTAATAACCTTAAAAAAAAATTAAAAAATCGAATAAAAATTTTTGGAAATTTTAATTTCACTAATATCTAAATAAACCATCAATAATTAATAAATAAATTATCTAATTATTTCATTAGAATTAAAAAAAAAATAAAAAAAAAATATTTTTAGAAACCATTTTTTTTTTAATGTGATGACTTTCGGGGTGTTCTTTTTTAGCCATGTGATTACAAGAAAACATAAAACGCATACAATTTAATTTTGTGGCCAAGAATTTAACATAGCTTTATCATAAACATAAGTGTTTGCCATTATGTTCTTAGAAATGATTTCGGGCTAGTGTGTGCCGCCGCTGGGTCAATTAAACTCCTGCCGAGAGGTCCAAAATCGACCACCCTTTCCTACAATTGGGACCGTATGTCAGCAATAACGCGCCGAATATTCACTTCCAAGTCGTCAATCGTCTTCCGTTTATCTGCGTAGACAAGCAATTTCACATAACCCTACAAAAACGCGTCCAGCGATGTTAGATCACATGATTTTTGAGACCACGCCACACGGTGACGACGCGAGATAATTTGCTTGCCAAAAGTTTCCTTCAATAAATTGATTGTTGCGTAAGCTGTATGACATGTAGCGCCATCTTATTGGAACCAAAAGTCGTCCACATCAACATCCTCCAATTCAGGCACGAAAAAATCATTAATCACGTTTCTATAGCGTTCTCCCTAGACGGAAACATTATGGGCAGCTTCGTTTTTGAAGAAATATGGACCAATCATTCCCTCTGCCCATAGAGCACACCCAACAATAACTTTTTGGGGTTGTCGCTGCAATGGAAGACGTCGCTACAATGGCTTGTTGTTTATCATCACTACAAATGCGACAATTTGGTTTAGTAACGTACCCATTCAACCAAAAGTGAGTTTCATCGCTGAATTGGCTTGTGAAAATCAGGACCGGTAGCAATCTCGTTTTAGGCCCATTCACTGAACGTGCGACGCGCTTAATGTTCGTGCGGCTTCAGTTTATGCACGAAGTGGATTTTGTAAACTAGCTTATAAAACTGGTGTGCTATAATCTTATTTTGTTATGGCACTCGTCAAGTAAATTAATAAATTTACTGTTTTTGAGCCATGTAAGTCTTCTCATACGCTCTTAATTGGTTTCTTGGTAGTTTTATATAGGTATGTGAAATGAAATAGGGGCAGCTCTTATAGACGCATTCTATATTCTAATACTTTATTCAAAATTTTTCATGCGATTTTCAAAAAAAACTTTTCGACTTCGATTATGCAATGTATTTTCAGTAAAAATTACAATTTTCAACCACGTACGTGAACTCTTTCCGGCCAAAAAGGTATTTTATTTTATATAAGTGAATTAATACGATGCTTAGAGACTTTTTTGTCGTATTTTAAAATTATGGGAGACATGTAGTCATTATTATTTTAAAATTATTTTAAGTAGCATTGTAAAATGTATTATTTGTTTTTTAAATTACTTATTACATAAATTTACTACAAACTAGTCTGATTTCCCACTTAATCCGATATTATGCCATTCAGCACGAATTGGCTTTAAGCAAAAGCAAAAACAAATAACTGTTTCCCAATAAATTCACTCGAAAAGTTTAGCGGCAAACGCAAAATTGTGTAGCCTAAATAATGTCCAAAAGGAAATTGTTATCGCAGAAAAGTATGTGTATGTGCATAGAACAAACACAAACACCGAAAATATGCACTTCTAAATATTGCGTATACGCCATGGCGCACGGTAGAGTAGAAGTATACAAAGCAAGCGGCTATAAACAGCTTATGCTATGAAAATGTTGTTTACAAAATCTAATTTCGCATGGCGATTGCAGCAATCTTACTTACTTGCAAATTTGCGGAGAATTTCGCATACAAATATGCGCATAATATCGGATTTATTTGCGCAAGCGATTGAGTTGGCAACGATGAAGACATTTTTACGTAGGAGAATTATATTGCCAAGCATTCATGCCTCGAGCAAATTTCGGCGTATACAATCAATAATAATAAAATTATGAAAATATGCGTCGATATTAAATGATGTTTAGACTGCGCGTCAAGCGCCAAACAATTCAAATAATGTGCAGCAATCAGCCACCAGTGCTGCCATGTTTCCGTGAGGACTTTGGCAAGTGGTTCGATCAGTAAAAATAAATATAAAATCATAGTGTAGAGTACTGCCTCGTATTATAGAACTGTAGCACACTTAACTTTACGATTTTCCCATGAGCTCTTCTTCAAAGCTGTGCACTTACATATGTTCGCAGTCTACTTGAGTGGACTTAATAGCGTGAGTATCAGCATTGCTGCAGGCGAAAATTGTTGCTTGCAATCAGATTTCACTGCCCTTTACTTATTTATTTTACTACCACCAAATAAAGTAAAAGAAGTTAACGTTTCGAAGAACCAACACCATGGATGTAAAGAAATATATATTTATATACTTATATGTATATATTATATTTGCTATATTCGTATATATTATTTTATGTGTATTAATTTTTGCTTTACATAGTTGCCAGATTTATGAAAATATACATACGATTTGAGTTAATAAATTTCATTTAAATTTGCAAATAAATCTAGTAAACGCTTTCTAAAGTTAAGTTAAAATTAACCGCTATGTATGTACATATTTTATAACACTTTTAATTGATTGTTTTCCAGCCACATTAAATTTACAAAATAGGTATTAACATCATTAACAGACTTTCTTATATACAGCAAGTTATTTTCATTATACATATTTTTTTTATTTTTTCACACAAAATATTTTTTTTAAAACATGTGGTAACTACTAAATATTATTCTTGTACTAAAGCTACTAAGGAATTTAATTTTTCCATAACAAATTTTTTTTTTTTCGAAATTTTTTCCACAAAAAAATTTGTTTAAAAAAATGTGGCAACCGCGTTACATATTATTTGTATACTAAAGTTTGATTCAATGAAAATTATAAGGAATTTCATTTTATATTGCAAATAATTTCTTATTTTTTTCACATAATAATTTTTAAAGGCATATGGCAACTGCCTTAAATACCAAAGTTTGGTTCAATAAAAATTTAAGAGAATTTAATTTTTTTTGCAAATAATATCTGTAATCGAAA